TTAAATATTGCAATACTGAGGATTAAACCCAGGATTTTCACACTGAGCTACATTCCCAGACTTTTAAAATTTTTATTTTGAGACAGGGTCTTGGTAAATTCCTAAATTGCCCGGGTGGGGCTTGAATTTATGACCCTCCTGTATCAGGCCCCCAGAGTGTTGGGATTAGGAGCTTGGGCCACCATTGCCAGCTGTATTCCTTATTTTGTTTTGTTTTACATAAGAAAATGAATCAAAGCAGGTGCTACAGCTTAGATCTAAAATTGTCACATTTGGAGGTGGGACATGGTTGAAAGGCATGGGTCACTGTGCACAAGATTTAGAAAGGTGCATTCTCATCCCTGGGTTCTCCCTTCTTTCCCTGCATCCTGGTCATCATCCAGTGAATGGTTTTCCTCCACCGTGCCATTTCTGCCTTGGCGCCAGTCTAACATGGAATGAATCTACTGAAACTGTGAGACAAAATAAATCTCTGCTCCTTTAGGGTGCAGGTATTGAGAATTATGTACTAATAATGGGAAATTGACTAAAATAGAAAATTGATGCTAAGAGTGGGGACATTGCTGTGACTCTACCTGATCATGTGGTCCAGGAGTCTTTAAAACTGATTTGTAGGAGTTTGGAGATGTGAGCTAGAGAAGTCCTGGAGTGTTGTAAGCAGTGTTTGATATATGATACTGGCCAGAGCTTAGAAGACTAGAATTTTTATAGGAATGCAGACAGTAAGGGCCAGGCTCAGGGGGCTTCAGCTGGGAACAATGACTCCATTGTTAAGCAAGAGGCCATGTATGTTATGCTGTAGAGAAAATTCATTTATATTTTGTCCATGTCCAGAGACTTTGTGGGAAACTGAACTTGAGGTGCTATAGTGATTAATCTGGTGGAGGAAATTTCAAGGCTGCCCAACATTCACGCTTTGGTGTGGCTGTTGCTAGATCTGCTTTTAGCCAGATCTACAGTGAGAATCAGTAGCAAAAGGCAGACCTGAATGATTTTAAAAGATCCAGTTATACAAGAAAGGAAGTACATGCAAAGTTGGGGCAAAGGAAGGCATGGTTGCTGAAAAGATTAGCATTAAAAGAAGCCAAATACTTTGTACAGGGACAAGAATAAAGATATCTTGAGGGCATCTCAGAAATCAGTATAGACCCCACCCATTGGGAAGAGAGTCCTTAGGATATCTTCTTATTTGAGGCTGCCTAGAGACATGCTACCAAGTTCAGCCATCTGGATATTCAGAGGCTTCTGCAGCCATAATCCAAGGGGTCCTGGCTACTGCTCAAATTCACAGCTGATCTTGGTATCATGCATGTGATTCTGGTTTTTCAGCCATGTAGAATGTGAGTTATGGGTTTAGAGAAGCTTCCACCAAGATTTCAGAAGGTTTGGAAAGCCAAGCAAAAATGTGTGACAGGGTCACAAATCTCTGCCAAATCTCTGCCAGGAACGCATGAGAGGGCAGTGAGTGACACTGTGAGAGTGAAGCTGAAGGTACAGTGGAGACTCCAGGAAGTTGGATGTGCCAGAAATTAGGAATGTCTGCTGAGAAAAACCACAATGAATAGAGCCTGCCTGTTATGGTTGATACATTGTGTCAACTTGAGGAGTCTAAAAGCTTAACTAAGCAACTCAGCAGTTCTACATCCTGGGGTAAAAACGACATGCCCTTGCTGCTCTAGGATGTTGTTCATTGTGTCAACTTCAAAAGTTTAAAAGTTCAACTTTAAACTTTAAAGTGATTCAGCAGTACCTCAGGGTCCTTACTTTGTAAACATCCTCAACTTGTGGAAGAGGAGGGCAGCAGATGGTGTGGGCATGGGCAGATAGCTGATATGCAATATGAAGACAAAAAGAGGCTTGTTTCTCCCCTTTGCTCTTGCCATTTTTTGGTCTTGTGCTGGCTTAAAGTGTTGTTCCTGTGCCATGCCACCCTGCCTTGAAACCAGCTGATTATAGACTAAAACCTCCACACACTGTAAGCTAAATAAACCTTTTCTCCCTTAACTTTGGGCATTAGATATTTTGTCTAGCAACCAAAAAAAAAAAGTAACCAAGACACTGCTCAAGCAACAGACCATGTGGGCTGCAAGCAGCAAGGTGATAGGGATAATTTCAATTCCTTTGCATTTACTTATGTATGTTCTATGAGCTAGTATGTGGTCTATTTTGGAGAATGTCCCATATGCAGTTGAGAAGAATGTGTATTTTGATGTTGTGAGGTAGAAAACGCTGTAGATATCTACTAAGTCCATTTATTCAGAAGTTTGGTTCAGTACTGATATTTCATTGTTGATTTTTTGTATAGTTGATCTGTCTGTTTGTGACAGTGGGGTATTGAGATATCCTATTACAAGGGGCTGGGGATTTAGCTCAGTGGCAAAGCGCCTGCCTGGCAAGCACAAGGTCGTGAGTTCAGTTCCCAGTACTGGAGAAAAACCAAAAAAAAAAAAAAAGAGAGAGAGAGATATCCTATTACAATTGTGTTAGTGTTTATTTGACTTTTTATGTCCATTAATATTTGTTTTACATAGTTGGATGCACTGGTATTTGTTGTGTATATATTTATGATTGTTATCTCTTCCTCTTGGATTGTTCCCTTTACAAGAATGCAGTGACCTTCTTTGTCTCTCTTAATCAGTCTTGGCTTGAAGCTCACTTGTTCTGCAACTAGAATAGCTACTTCTGCTTTCTTTCAGATTCCTGTGCATGGAATATTGTTTTCCATCCTTTGACTTTCAGTTTCTGAATTTCTTTTTGAATTAAATATGCTTCCTGTATGCAGCATATTGTTGGATCTTGTTTCTTGATCCATTCTGCCAGTCTGTTTCTTTTAATTGGTGAATCGAGACCATTAACACTGATGATTCTAAGTGATATATATTGACTTGTCATGTTATTTTCCTGTTGTTGGTAACCCCATTTAACTGCTTGCCTTGCCTGGTGGATTCATTCTTTTGGGGTTCATGGAGTTGTAGTCCTCATGATCTCTCTCTAGAATGTCCTTCAGAACATTTTGGAGTGCTGATATTGTGGCCATGAGCTGTTCTTTGTCATGGAAGTGTCTTATTTCTCCATCAATTTTAGAAAATAGTTTTGTGGAGTACATCAATCTGGGATGGAGGTTGTTTTCTTTTAGGGCTTGAAATACTTCATTCCAAACTCTCCTTGACTTGAAGGTTTATGTTGAGAAGTCTGTTATGGTTCTGATGGGCTTTCCTTTACAGGTGATTTGTTTCCTTTTTAGAGCAAATCTCATGTCACCATCTGTCAGGAGAGAAGAAAATGTTGAGAAACCTCACAAGCCCTGGTGCCTCCCACTGATTATAACCCTTTTCTTCTTCTACAGAAGTAAAACATGGTTCTGATTTTCATTATAAATACTCTTTCACAGTTTATGATCTCTGTGTGCATTGATAAAAACACGTTCTAGTTTTGCTTGTTTTTAAGCTTTACAGAACTGAACTCATACTATACCATATCAAGTTTTAATTCTTTTGCTCAACACTATATGAGATTCCCCTGTTCTCTTGCAGGCATATGCAATGTCTTCATTTTTAATTGGTGTGTACTGGTACATTTTCTGAACATTTCACAAATTAAAGAAATGCTGTTGTGCTGAATTGTAGAGAACATGCTTCCAATACTATAAAGTGTTTCCTAAAGTAGCTGTACTAGCAAACACTCCCACTGTCAGTGTGTGAGAGCTCCTGTTGCCCCACACCCTCACCTTGGTATTGTCAGACTTTCCCATTTTAGTCCATCGGTGTCTAGTGGTGTCTGTTGTTGTAATTTGCATTTCTCTTACTAAAGAGGTTGACACTGTTTCTTATATTTATTGGATATTTGTATATTCTTTCTTGTAAAATATTTTGCTCATTTTTCTAATGGCCTAACTATCTCTTTTTATTTATTTGAAGTAATTATATATGCTGGCTCTGAGTCCTGAATTCTTTAGTTGGCTACATGCATTGCAAAAAACTTCTCTCAATCTGTATCTTGTCTCTTTTTGTTGTCTTTTGATGAAGAGAGACTCTATAAACTGTCAATATTATCTATTTTTCCCTAGATTTAGAACTTCTTAATTTTGTTTAAGAAATATTTCCATACCCCAAGCAAAACTGACTTATCATCTCCTGTATAGTTTTACAGTGTTGACTTATCTATTTAGCTGTTTAATGAGATTGGTTTTGGTCTTTCTTTGAGTTAAAAGGAGAAATTCTTTTACTGACATGTGGCTACCAGATAGTCCAATGCCATAATGTCAATCTTCCATAATGATCTACAGTGTCACTTCCCATATATATCAATTATGTATATATTAAAGAGCTTTTTTCTGAGCTATGTATATTGTTTGCTTGGTCCACATGTCTATATCTTAATAACTTATCTGTCTTCATTCTTATTTGATGACTTTAGCCTTAATATATTGATGTTTCTTAATGTTTTTAAGGAGATTCTTTTTGTATTTTATCTAACATTTCTACTTCTTTCCACAGAAGAGTTTATCTAATAATCTAGCCTATAGTTAATAAATATAGAAGTCCTACTGGCCTATTTCTGGTCTTGCTATAACTCACTAAAAAACCTTTTGGGAAGGGAGAATGACAGAGGATGGCTAACAAGTACAGCAGTGCATTTGGAAAGGAGAAATAAATTTTAATGTTTTATAGCACTGTAGGATAATTATAATTGACAGCAATTAATTGCATATTTCAAAATAGTAAGGGATTTTGAATGTTCTAATACAAAGAAATGGTAAATGTTTGTGGTGATCAACATGTCAATTCCCTGATCACATATTTTTACCTGTTGTGAAATGTCACTCTGTACTGCATAAATGTATTCAACTAATATTTGCCAATTAAAAGTAAAAATATATTTTAAAAATATTGTTATGGTTTCTCTGTATTTAGTTAACTTGTACCCTAGAGCAGAATTAGCTACATGTAAGAGTCAAGGGCCCGCAAAATGCCGTGGGTCCTAGGGACATGACATTTTGGTCATGACCACTTTGACATCTTGTTCCTCAGCGTGTAGATGACAGAGTTGAGAACAGCTGTGAGAATGGCAAATGCCAATCTCAGTAGGTCAGCTCTAGAGGCCACAATAGCTACGGCAAAGAATGAGCAGCAGGTGCTATATTAGTCAACCTCCTGTTACTATCATGAAATTTCTGGGAACAACTAACTTATAAAGAAAAAGGGTTTATTTTGGCTCAGGGTTCTGAAGCTTTCTATCCAAGATTGAGTAGCCTCATCGTTTGAAAAAGATGACTCATCATAGCAGGAGTGTATGTTGGAGCAAACTGTTTATATCACAAGTCAGGTACTAAAGAAGGGCCACACTGGAGGCCAAACCTCTAACATCAAGAGTCAAGCTATAGCAAGTGTCCACAACCAAAGAATGAGAGGTGTGAGTGGAAAAGGCTTTTGAACATCTTTCTTGGAAGCTGACATGAAGCACTGAGACCAGGATTTGCACATAGGAGAGAAGTGCCAAGAGGAAGAAGGACACCACCGTGGAGATGCAAAAGCCCATGAGGGTCTGGGGCCTGGTGTCGGAGCAGGAGGCTTGAACCAGGGTCAAGTGGTCACAGAGGCCATGGTAGATGTAGGCAATGTCATCAGATGCCATCTGGGAGGTTTTTACTACTTCTGTGATGTGCAGGAGGAGGGTGGTAAGCCAGGCACTGCCTGCCAGTGCAGCGTGGGTCTGTGGGGTCATGTGGACCCAGTAGTGCAGTGGGTGACAGATGGCTACATGGTGGTCACAGGCCATGACCACCAGGATGAAGGCTTCTAGAGCAGGACAAATTGGAACAAGTACATCTGTGGAAGCAAGCAGGGAAGCTGAGAAGCGGCCCCCATGAAAGAATAGGGGTAGCATCTTGGGGACAGTGATTATGATGAAAAGGATGTCCAGGGCAGATAAGTTAATTAGGAAGAAGTATATGAGCTTTTGCAGGCTGGACTCTGACACCACCGCCTCCAGGACTGGCCAGGTAGGTTAAGAAGGATGGCCAGGTAGGTTAAGAAGAAAACTGAGAAAAGCAAAAGAAGCAAGGACTGTCACAGAAAGGGATGCCCACCAAGTAGAGAAGGCTGGGAGGGTCCTTCCACCTGCTATGAGTTATGCTTTTCACAGTGGGTCCAAGGTAGATGTCTGAAGACAGACATCGGGAACATCAGGACACATCTGGAAACCAGAAAAATAAGAATGTATAACTACAATGCATATTTTCCTTTCTAACTATGTATCTCAATCCCAACATTTTCTTTTTATGAAAAAATAAAACAAAATTTCATAACAAAATACGAGAATAACAGTAGTCAATATATTGTGTATCTTTATCTTTGAAGTAGTTACTCAGAATTTTCTTTGTGCCCGGAATTTTACTGCACAATTAAGATGCCTTAAATTGTCAATCTCTAATAGCAATACTCTAATATCAATAGAAAGAGCTGGTTGTGTGTGTGTGTATGTGCGTGTGTGTGTATGTGTGTGTGTTAAAGAGGTAGACACAAACACCTGAAGGGAACACCTGTGGAAAGGCAGGAGCCATACTTTACAAACACCTGGGGCCAGCAACAGCAGGTTCAGGAGTTCAGAGTTCAGGCTCACATAATACAAAAGTTTCCTTCAATCAGGATTATCTGATAATGCAAAGGGCAGGCTTGAAAAATCAGTGAATTCCATGTAACAACAGGTGTACAAGACTGGAGTCTTTTGGGCTGGAATGCCACAGAAGAGGTTTAATACCTCTTAAGAGGGTGGGAGCTAGATTAAATGTTTCTAAGCCACTTTCTGACCCTAGGTCTATTGGTTCTCTAAATAAATAAATAAATAAATAAATAAATAAATAAATAAATAAATAAACTAACATAAATGAACCACAGAAGTAAGATTATAAGGTGAGAGGGCAAGTAATCTAGCTGAGAGAAAAAGACATGAAACACATCCACTGAAATGTTCAAATGCCAACTATAAAATCCAATAGCTCTTTTGTTAGTTCCAGAAGCTCCTTTAAGAGAGTCTGATGTTTTAGCCGAATACCTGCGGTCACAAGTGAAGGAACATTTGGGTGCAGTGATGGTGATGAGCCATGCTCCAGGTTCTGCCCACTGCCACACTAGAATCTTGACTGCAGTCATTTGATGCAAGACTGTCAACTCCAGGGTTCTCCCTACAGTTTCTAAGTGACCTTGCTTAACTTGGGACCTTCTAAAGACAACAGAGTCATTGGTTGGGAGTGAGTGAAGTTGAGCCCTGGAGTAAAAACTCTTGGTAGTTTATTCTGATGTTCATTTGACCAGGTACCTCTGGAGGACTGGCAGGGGCCTCTGACAAAGACAGAACTCCTGAGCTCTATGGAATTGGGAGATGCTTTGAGGGAGGCTGAGGGGCTGCTGTGGATTCCATTTCTCTTCTGTGCCTTACTCCATTCTCCTCTCCCTCATCTTGGCAGGATGATGTGTCTCACTCAGCACCACCGTCTTTGTCTCTGGATTTCCATCCCTTCCTATACTATCTTTCTCTTCAGCTACTTCCTTCAGAGAGTCTTACAAAATACTGTCTTCCTAACTAGGGATGACTTCCCTTTCTTGTGTCTGTGCTGGGAGTCTCCTCATCAGTGTCAGGCCAGCTGGGTGTCCTGTGATCTGCCTTTGTATCCTCTGTGTTGTATCTTACAGTAAATGGCCATCCTGGTTTGCTCAGAACTGTCCTGATTTTTGCACTGAAAGTCCCTCAGTTTCCCAGATTATGAGGTACCCTAGTAGGACAGAGACCTTGTTTTACTATGTTTTTGATAGAAGCAGTCATTTCCCTTGACAGAATCTAGATTGAATTCCCTTTTCCGGTGAGGAAAAAATGCATTTCAGGTCACAGCTATTCCTCATTTAACACCCTACATGTTTACTGCCTGTCCAGACTTATGACTGAGATGCGCTGTCCGAGCTCACAGCCTGCTGCTTGGGCTTACAGCCTCCATTTGGACTTACAGTATAGCACGGTCAGTTTTGCTGATTGTACTGTACAGTACAGTAGTGCAGTGTAACTTTGTGTCCTGTTATACATTACAGTACTCTATGTGAGTTATGCAAATAAAAGCAAAGTCACCAAGTTGGAGGGTTTTTTGACCATTTCTTTATTCTGAATATTGTAAAGTACATACTTTATACAATTCCAATATATAATGTATATTGTATACAATGTACATGTACAATGACCTGGTCCCAGGAAGGGGGCTTGGTCCTCAAGCAAGGCCTGTTTGTACTTCCATCCCATTCTGCACATTTTCCCTCCTCCTGGCTGCTGCAGCTCAGCAGGTGTCACTATTGAGCTGCTTCATGCCCACTGCCCTGGAACCACCTTCCTTGGCCTCTAATTCAGCAGGTGCCAGAGAGCTGACAAGTTAAAGAGCCAGTGCTGTGAGAGATGATCAAGTGCTGCACAAAGTAATTGCTCTGCCCAGGAGCTGCTGAAGACAGTGCCCAAGGGCCTGGGGTGTAGGACAGTGGTAGAGTGCTTCCCCAGTATGCATGAAGCCTTGGGTTTAATCTTGGTCTGTGTCTGTCCCTTTCAAAATTCACGTTGAGGCTTAATTCCCAAAGTCATATGTTGATGGTATTTGGAGGTGAGTGGGCCTTTGGGAGGTAATTAGGAATAGGTGAGGCTGTGAGGACAGGGCCCTTATGCTTGCATCAATGAGCTTTTTATAAGAGAAAGTCAGGAAGTTGTGTGTGGTAGTTCACACCTGTAATCTCGATGCTCTGGGGGCGCTGAGGCAGGAGGATTATAAATTCAAATCCAGCCTGGGTAACTTAATGACTTAGTGAGATCCTGTTTCAAAATTTTAAAAAAATTGAAAGGGTTAAGGATTAGCTGAATGTGATTCAATTACTAGTGGGTTCGATTACTAGTATCATGAAAAAAATGAGAGAACCAAATCAGCAAACTTCTCTAAATTAGCAATTCTCAGCATGTGATGTCCTCTACCATGTCATGCCCAGCAGGAAGGCCCTCATCAGCAAATGCCCACACCATGCCCTTGGGCTTTCAGAACCATGTGTTGGCTAGGCCTTTATTCTTTATAAATTATCCAGTCTGCAGTATTCAGTTATAGCAACAGAAAACAGGCTAAAACACTGGGCAATCCTGGCAGCCCAAAACCTCCAAATGAGATTTTCAACCCTCAGAACTGAGCTTCTTGGGCTTTTCCTTCTGACTCAGCTGTCCAAGGGCAAGGGATATTGCCCTCTGGATCACTGCCTCTTCATACCAATGAAAACCTTGTACAATTCCACACCTCCAGCTTCTCCCTTGCCCAGCAAAATCTCTCCCATCTTACCATATGTAAGAGTGGAAATGGCCTGCAGAGAGTTGCATCCATGACCTTCCCTCACAAGTGAAGAAATCAGACTGGAGTGAGGGAAGGAAAGGCAGCAGCACCTCATCCACAGCAAGTTATGGTCAGAGTTAGTCTGGGAAAACAAGCTTCTCAGGTTCTGAACTTGGCCCTTTCCACCAAGCCAAGGACCTAGAGAACTGGAAGCTCTAGTTTCCACCTGGGCAAAAATTAGGCCAAAGGGTTTTGTTTTCCTCTCTCTATCTCTTAGGCTGGCATCAGAGACAACTATAAATTTCTGTTTTGGTCTGAGAGCATTTTAAAACAGTTTTAGATGGAGTGGGTGCTGATCAGAGGTTCTAAATGGCTAGGAAAATGATATTTCCAAGAAATGACTTTGGAAGAAATAGACCGAGCATATCTTCATTAAAAAATATCTTGAGAGTCAGGCTTCGCCTACAGAGAATAAATGTTCTCTATTTGGTATCTGGTTCATAATAAACTTTCCCTAAATATTTTCAAATAAATGAATTAATGAATGAAAGGGTTAACATGAGTTCAACTGAACTTTTTCCCTTGATGGACCAGTCAGCAGGAATTTTTCTTTACTACAAACCAAGTGTTCTGAAAGTTGCTCTAATTTTGAGAAGTTGTTCCCACCACTGACTGGAACCATGTATTATGGCTTACTTCTAGACGTCCCCTAAAGCCTCCTGGGGTCATAGATGAGGAGTTTCAAAGGTGGCTGGATTAGGGCCTGTGAATGTGGATTAAGGATGTGATAATGGAAGCCTGATCCTGGGTATGGGTGGCACCAATCAATAGGGTTGCAACCTGGACGGAATACAAAGGGACAGAAGAAAGGCAGGCTTGCTGCTGCTGCTTGCTGCCCTCTGCCTACTACATCATGGTCAGTTTCCCCTCTGCCATGTCTTTGTGCCATGCTGCCCCGCCTTGGAACTGGCCAACTATGGACTGAAACCTCTACAAACTGTGAGCTGAAATAAACCTTTCCTCCTTTAATGTATGGATGTTGGGTATTTTGTCTCAGGGATGAGAAAAGTAACTAAGACACCATGTAAGTGCAGATTTTGCTGGGTAGTCCCAGAACACCAGAGCCAGAAACTTTCTTACAAAAAAGCAATGTTGTTTAATCATCATTTCCCCTCAACTCCATTTTTTTTCAAATAAAATGACTCAGAGAGTGGAGTGACTTGGTCAAGTTCACACAGAGATTTGGTGCCAGAATTATGCCAGAAGCCACACACAAATTCCAAAAATGCCATCATGTAAGAAGTGCCAAGATCCCAGAGCCAGGCTCTCTTGGCGCTGTGATTAGTCCTGGATACCTCCCCTTTAGCAGTCTTGCCTTAGCTCTTCAGCCCAGGGCACTGCAGCTGTCTCTTCCCCTCTGCATCCAGTGCTGCTCCTTGGGACAGGCCCAGTTTGGGGCTGAGCCTGGTTGCATTAAACTCTCACGTTCTACCCATCCTTCATCTTCTAGGGCCTTGGCCCCATTCTACTGGATCCTGGAATAACATATTTTTTTGAGACAGAATCTCACTATGTAGTCCAGACTGGCTCATTTTGTAGCTCAGACTGGTCTCGAATTTGCAATGATCCTCCTGCCTAGGCCTCCCAAGTGCTGGGATTACAGGCAGCACCACCACACCCAGCTAGGAATAACATTTTGGGAGGACTCCCAGCTGGTAGCCCAGCTACCACTGAGCATTTCTGACAGAACAACAAGATTAATAGTGCTTACTGGGAGATGGGACTTCATGGTTTATGGGGTTTTGTGCCTACTGAGCAATGATTGGTAGCATTGAAAGATGAGGAAACAGGCTCAAAGGGATCACCCAGTTGTGCAATCATCCAAGGACAGGACCGATCTGAAAGCTCAGATTTGCTAATTCTCAGCGGAGCTAGGGTGTCAACCAATGACACAATGAGAAAAGGAATACAAACATTCTCTCTGTGACCCTAAATTACTTGTGCAAATGGCCAATGAGGATCTTCTGAGTGGGGAGGAATTGGTGTAAGCAAGCTGAGGGCCTCTCCATTCTCCCATCTTCACTCTTGCTCCCTTGCTTGCTCTCTCTTGCACACTCTTGCTCTTTCATGGATGCCTTATGATTCTGAGAGCAGCCTCCCCGGCGGAGCCTTCAGTAACTGCGTCTTCTTTCAGCCCCAGGGCTCCTTCTCTTCTTGCTGTCAATGCCACCATTTTAAAGATTAGGTGAACTGTGACTCATCACTCATTCCACAATGAATGAAGTGGGCTTTGGGTTAGGTGTCTGATCATGGCAAACTGACACAGTCCAGGGATAGCCAGTGGGAAAATCGGTCAACATAGCTGGAGTACTCTGTGCTACTAAGGAGTTGGAGACTCAGAGGAAGCAACAAAGCAGTCTTGCCTCATAGAAGACATCTTTCAAAATTATACTTATAAGCAGACAAGCAGAAGTCTCCCAGGCCAGTGAGGAAGTGGGAAAGCCTGGAGGGGTGCAAAGGCAGGAGCTGTGAATGAAAGTTTGTTTGGGAAGCAGTATAGCAGGAAAACTGGAAAGTCTCAAAAGATGAGCTAAAGAGATCAGCAGGGGCTAGAAAGAGAAGAGGAGAGTGGGTATGGAAGGTCAGGGTAAGCAGAGAGAGAAGTGTTTGAAACCTAAGGAATAAGGACTCAGCATGAGGACATGGGAGAACCAGATTCAGCATTTAGACAAGGGAGTAACATAGTCACCTCTGTCTCAGAAACATCAGAGCCACTGTGGCAAGGAGAGTGATTCAGAGTGGGAGAGCTTTGGCCAGGGAGCCAGCCGGGAGGCAAGGGACAAAGAGGAGTGGTAATGATAAAGATGACAGAAGACACAGCCCGGATAGAGTGTTAACTTGTAATGAGCATGCTCTGGTGGTCACCCACTTAGTTTCATCTAACCTGAGAAGTAATTTTTATTACCCTTAGTTTGGAGATGAGGAGGCTCAGAGGACCAGACTTGCCTTGGTCCTTCCTCTGGACCAATAGCCAGTGTTAAGGACTCCAATCCATCTCCAAAGCCCATGCCTCCTAACTATCAAGTGAGATGTCCAGTGGAACAGTGGGTGTGGAATGTCAGGGTAAGTACAGAGAGTAGACGACATCTTTAAGATGTTTGCTTGGAGAGAGAAGTATCTCAGTGCTGTCAGGCTGTTATGACAAAACACTTTAAATTGGTTCATTTATAAATGACAGCATCTTATTGCTCACAGACTTGGGAAGTCCAAGGTCAAGGCACCAGCAGATGTGAGGGCATGCTATCTGCTTCAGACAGTGTCTTCTAGCTGTGTTCTTGCATGGTGGAAAGGCCAAATAATCTCCCTGGGACATTTTTGTAAGACAACTAATTTCGCTCATGAAGTCTCTGTCCTCAGAACCTGATCACTTCCCAAAGGCCCCACCTTCTAACACCATCACATTGAGGGTTAGGTTTCAATGTGAGGGGTTGGGGTGTATGCGTCACAAACATTCAGACCGTGGCAAAGGGCCAGGGAGATTTCTGCTATATTTTAAGATGGAACTATTTGAGTGTATTTCCTGCCATTTGTTGCTATATTTTAAGGTGGAACTATTTGAGTATATTTCCTGCCATTTGTTGGTGGAGACAGATAGTAGAGGGCAAGAGAATGAAGGAACAGGAGAGCAAGAAAATGGCCAACAGCACAGAAGAGCTTCTGAACCCAGGGCCTGGGCTCCTGGTGCACTGAGTGGGAAGGAAGGGAGTGAAATTGGGAGCGGGCGGGTTTGTAGGTCTGGAGTTGTAGGTTGCGAGTGAGCCTCGCTACAGACATGAAGGAGTGGTGGAATTTCGGGAAGAGGACCAGCCTGTGGGCACCTTTGTTCACCCTCCACTGGAGCTGAGGGTGGGGCAACAAAGTGGATAAGGCACAGATCTCTGCTAGACTGACTTGCTTCCGAGCCTGTGCATCTGAGAATCTGTTTTCTTTCCTGTACAGAAGAGGTTTGTTCACCAAGTTCTTCTTTCTTTCTCAATTTCTTTCTTTAATTAGGGATTAAGTTGCCAAAGTAATTTCTAAAAGAAAATAGTCATTATTTACTCTGTCAAGGATATTTAGAGAGAGTAAAAATGTTTCATGGTAGTAGGAGCTTGGAGATTTGTGATGATTTAACTCCTACCTCATAGTTGTGAAATATTTTGTTTTGAAATGGTAAAGAAAGTGGTTGCCTTCTGAAAAATTATTGGAAGTTTTTTCCATATAAAGGGGTGATTTTAGTTTGATTTAAATAGAATTAGTCAAGGAAACTTCAAACTTTAGGAAGCCTAGCCTCCTGAGAAGTGTGAGGAGCAAGTCAACATTCATTTGGGAAATCTGATTGTAAGAGTAGATCCAGCCCTACACAGCGTAACATTTGGAATCAGTTTCACTTTAAAACCATTACTGTGTGCCCAGCCATGTTCAGGGCAACAGAGATGAGAGAATGAAGGCCTTTCCTGGACTTCATGTGCTAGGGCTACGGCAGAAAAACCTACAATGAGAAAATAGATTAATATAAGAAAGGCTGTGGGGGCTGGGGATTTAGCTCAGCGGCAAAGCGCCTGCCTGGCAAGCGCAAGGTCATGAGTTCAGTTCCTGGTACCGGAGAAAAACCAAAATCAAAAAAAAAAAAGAAAGGCTGTGAAGAAGTTAGCTTGTAGTAGGGTTTCAAGAAAACATCCGAAGTGTCTTTTCCATGTGTGCACACAGGCGGAAACCTCTGAAAAGACCGCTGTCACCTCTAGATGAATGAGTCTGCTGAGCCATGGCAGAATGAGGAAAATTGTCCCCTGCCAAAGTAAAGAACTGTCCACTCAGGTTCAAACCCTTTCCGTGCAAGATTAAAGTGGCCATTAGACAAAGCCCCTCCTGTAGGAATTGTGGAGTCATCAGGGAGTCTATGGTAGCCCCAGCCTGACAGAGTAGGATGAATTATTAAACTTGGAAGCGGATATTGAGGGTTTA